TTTCATCGAAAAAAAAACAGAAAAAAAAAACAAATCAGAATTGGATGGAAAACCAAAAATCGGACTCGAGGACTCTAAATACTTCATCTATATCTGTATTTGTATCTGTATCTGTGTGCAAAATAATTTCTAGTTCATTTTTGTTCGTCTTTCCATTTATTATGTTCATATTTTTTTGTTCTTGTGTAATACGGCTCAATTTGGTAGCACACAATGAAAATGTTCGCATCGAATACCCATATCCATATGACGGAATTGATCGTGCATTCATTGTTGTGTCCATAATTGTTTTGCTATGGATTTTGGGTTCGGATAAATGAAAGCGTGCAAAACCGCCGAACAAATCATCGGGTGTGGGTTTGTGTGTGACGGATGAACGAAATTCCACGGCAAAAGTGTTTGCCGCACAAGTCTTCCACACAAAATGGTTTGTGTATGTGTAAAAGCTCTTGTTTTGCACGCACTAATCGATCGCCACGAAATACGCCATTCACGTACGCCATTCGAGAGATTATTCCACTCAATCGTAAAATGGAGTTCATCTGGTATGCAAGTATGTATATATTTATAAATTGTCTAAAATTTTTGTTTAGCTAATTTATCGTTCATGTTGTCGGCGTTTCACTTTTTTATTGGCTCATTGTTGAACGATTAACGTATATCCATTACATCCCTTTGCATCCTGTTGTATGTGAGTGAGTGTGTGTGTGTTTGGTATCGGTGAAAATGCGTTCAACTCGTGATATTATTTGTTTGTTTTTATCATATTTGGTATGATTAACGGTTGTATGCTTTACGGTGTGCATTGTTTAATTCAATTGATATACAACACACACACAATCTACCTGTTCGATTGTTGTCATTCAATACGGTGATTGTGGTATATTTTAGTTGATTGTTTGTTTTTTTTCTTTTTCTTAATTTTTCAACTAGTTATTTGTGTTTATCAATACAAAATTATAACACGAATCATACTCGTTTGGCTGATTTTATGCTTCTTCAGGGGGTGAGGGAATGGATTTGAAAGAAAAAAAAATTATGCATACGAACTTTAACATTGATAATTACTTCACTCTTTCCTTCGTTCTCACCTTCAATCATCTAATTCTCATTTGAAATTTTATTAAATGCTATTTTTGTTGTTGTTGTTGTTGTTGGTTTTGTTTTGTTCAACATCTCTTCATCTTAAACGGTATGTTTAGTTAAGTTTACGTTTGATGCCTTAGTTAATTCTGTGTTTTGTTTTAATTCAGTTTTACATTACATTCATTTCTCTTTCTCTATAACAAAATATAATAAATATTTTTTTTTATTGTATTCATTTTATTTTCTTTTTAAATGCATTTGTTTTTCACCACATTTTAATTCGTATGGGTTTGTTTCAGAAAAATGCGAATTGCAAACAATTTTTTTTTTGGTTTCTCACTATTTTTAATGTTTTATTTTTGACATCATTTTCTTCAGTTTTATAGCTGACCCTATGACAGTATATCAATGTGTATTTTGTGTGTGTGTGTATATATATATATATATATATATATAGTATATTTCGTTAATGTGCGCGTGCGATTCCATCGCATTCACATTGCGAAGAATTCGTGAACTGGTTTATGACATTAATATATCGATATATATATATTCAATTGTCCATGTTGTTTTTTTGTTTAATTCATTAATGAAAAAGGAAAAAAATCAATTCCAAAATACAACCAAACATCATTGATTTATCTAAAACCGTGAGATGAAGTGGAAAATTGAGCAAAATTCGGAGGAACATTACCATCGAAAAGTGTCACACGAGAGCTGCTCTCACTGTAGGATTGGGGGTTTCATTGTTTTCTTGGTGTGAACGTTGGTGTTTTGCTATAAAATTGGTGAGCTTTGCATTTTTTGGTTTTGTTTTTGTTCGATCGTTCGTTTTTTCTTTTCTTAATTAAAAAGTTTTTTTTTTTTCATTTAAAAAAAAAGGAAGAATTTAGATCATTTGGCACCAGGTTATTACGATTTGTGAGTCTCCAGAATCCATTTAGTTAGTAACAGTGTTTGTGTGTCGATGCAAAAAACAATACAGATTTCGTCTACTTCTTTGTTTTTAATGTAATCCTTAAAAATAAACTCATTGTTCTTAAATGTTAAAAACGTTAGTATCACTGGAAGATGATTATTGAAGATAAACAAGATTATCAGTTGCATACACAGCGAATGTTCTTCTCTCGATCTTTTTTTTTCCTACTTGTTGTTGTTGTGTGTATGTTTCTTTTTCTCATTCTCGGGTGTTGTTGTTCTTTTTTTTCAGTTAAATTTCATTTGGTTTGTGTACCAAAACGCGTTTCGAATCGAATAGACGTCCATTTTGCTTTCTTTTCACTTTTGTTTCCTTTTGCACGTGTGCCGCGCCAGAGATAAATTCATTTTCGTTTAAATTTTTCTACTAAAAATTGATTGACAAACACACACAAAGAATGAACAAATGTCTCTGTCGAGCCGGTAAAACGAGTTAGAATGCATCGTTTCTCTTCTTCTTCTTTTGAACACAATTCAAAAATTAAATTTTGATTTTACAGAAAGTGTTTGTTTTTTCCAGGGAGTGTAACTCCGAGGAGGAGGAGGAATGGTGAGGAGGTGAATGAGGAGGAGGAGAGCGCTGAGGAGGTTCCTCCTCCTCACATGAGGAGGAAATAAAAATTATCAAAATTGAGGCACATAAATTTATTTTAAACACTTCTATTGATTTTGATCGTAGCTTTTCATCGTTGGCATTCGTTCCAAATCAATAAAAGTGTTTAAAATAAATTTATATGCCTCGATTTTGGTAATTTTTATTTCCTCCTCATGTGAGGAGGAGGAACCTCCTCAACGCTCTCCTCCTCCTCCTCATTCACCTTCTCACCATTCCTCCTCCTAACTTTAACTTTTCTCTGCCAATTTTAAGAATTAAAGAGAAGAACCGAAAAGTTGAAGCATACAAACTCACAGTTTTTTTTTTTCAAATATATATTTTTTTCTTCTTTTTTTCAAATTTTCCAGTTAAGTTTCGATCGTTTTATTTTTCTTGTCTAATAATTCAGCTAATGTGAGCAATTTAATTTTTATTTTCTTTAAATCTTTTTTTTTAATTTACCATATATTCAATTTTTGAGGCTATGCAACACCATGTGTGTGTGTTTGTCTTTCATTGTTCTACTAATTATGTTTTTTTTTTCTTTTTATCCAATGTGTGTATGGAAAATACTGGCAGTAGTTAATTTTTTTTTAATAATAATTATATACTTTTTTCTCCTTTTTCTTCTTCGAATTCAACCTAAGAATCATTGTTTAGTTTTTCATCAATTAAATTTAATTTTGTTGTTGCTTTTATTTCATATAGCTTTGTTACGATTTTATTCTTCTGCTCTTGACTAAATTTGTGTGTGTGTGTGATTTTTTGGCTTTTGGTTTTACAAATGTTGTTCTTTTTTCATCTATAATGCGATTTATGTGAAAATGACCAGGAGGCGATGAAGTGTTGTTCATCATCTCGCGAAATATTTCGGTATAATATACGTTTGTTTTGTGTGGTGTGTATTTAATAGTGGCTGTTGTTTTCTGCATCATTTTTCAATGTGCAGTCTCTTTTGCTGTTTCATTTTTTTCCTTAATTTTTCTTTTTGTTGCTTAAAATTATAAGTATCAATGTTCACTTATTATTTCTCTCACTCTCTCTCTCTCTGCCTTTCGCTCTCGCCCATTGCCACGTATAAAGTGGCAAAAAAATGGCCAGCGCTGGCGGTGCGAGAGAGATATTTATTTCAATTTGGAGCTATGTGCTGCTGGTTATGGTGGTGGTGTTTTTTTTTCCAAAACAGGGAACCATTACTCAACATTTGACAGTTTTGATTATTGGATTGTGGCCAATTGTATGTATGTCTTTATGTTGTACAAGTGATCGAAATTTGTTTGTCCTTATAATGAGTCTTCGTGAGAGTTTTTTTTATATTCATATTTTTTTTTCACTTTTTCGCTTATTCGAAATAACAAAAATAATAACGACTTAAACTTTATCTCATTTCATTTCCTTTTTCATTTTTTTTTCGCTAATAAATTTTCGTGTTTCGTTTTTTCCTAGTTCACGTACACACAAATAATGTTTGTTTTTTTTTTTTTAAATGGAAGTAAGCGTAAACCAAATGTGAAATGATTTGTGACTGCCCCATTTCTGGCTCCTGAACATTATTCTTTTGTGCTATTCTCTCACACTCTCTTCGATCACACACTTGTTCAGAATTGCTTGTTCTTGCCTGCTGCAGCTTTTGCGATTCGCCTAGTTTTACCTTGAATAAAAACAAGCAAGCGGCCGATGCAGTGTGAGAGTGTATGACTGTTGTTGGGTGCATTTCTAATGGGTTATTTTTGTGTGTCATCGATTTGCTCGGAATGTTCTTGCATAGACGATAGCTTATTTCTGGTTGGTTTGTGTGTGTGTTTTTTTTTTTGGTTGGAGTATGAAAAGATGAGCTTAAGCCAATGTGAACAACTATTGGTGGGGAAGAAAAGTCTTTGCGGACTAATCCGAGAATAGCCGATCGTAAAGAGTTCGTTTTTTTTTTGGTTCGTTTTGCAAATTTGTGCGTGAGTAATTTTCGTTTCGAAAATATTTTTTTCTAACATTTGTTGTTGTTGTCTTTTTTTGAATAAATCCAACTCATAGAACCATTTCCGTTCTATTTGAGCTGATTTGATTCAATTTTCTTTTAACTTCTAATATCTATAATCATTTTTTTTTTTTGGTTTTGTGTGTGAATAATTCTTCAATTTTTTTTTTCTTTAATTTTTATTTACTTTTTGTCGCTTTTATTGGCTTTTGTAGTCGTCTCTTCGAGATTTCTAGTTATGTTCTCTTTTCATTCATATATAATTATATATAATAATAAATATAGTAATAATTTTTTTTCAAATACATTTATGATACTTAAGGAATGTGATGGAAGATTTGCATGAAACAGACATTTTTTTCCTAATAGTTTTCTTTTTCTTCGTCATTTTCATTCACTGTGTGTGTTTTAGTTTATGCATGTGTTGCGCTTCAATTTTTTTGTTTGTTATTTTTTCTTTCACTTTCCTCTTCGTTAATTACATTTACATTTGATTTTAGTTCATTTTGTTGACTATAGAGTATTTGTCTGGGCTAATTTTGTTTGTGTGTATTGTTTTCATGTTTTTTTTTTTGCTCCATAAATTGTGTTGTTGTTGCTGCGGTTGAGGGGCAATAGTGTGCATTCGAATTGATTGGCAGTTCATGAATGAGTCTATATGTGTGTGTGTTTTCATATGGTGATGCAAGCAACCACAATCGTGTCGAGACTGTGGCCGAGAAATTGGCATCCATGGAAGCTTTTGTGGTATACTAGTGGGCGTACTGCACTGTTTTTTTTTCTGTTTGTAGTCTGCTAGTATAGCAGGAGAAAATTGTTTTAGGCGCTCATCGAAGATCTACATCAAGCCATTTGTTTACAATTCAGACAATTTCAATAGATCCGATCCGATTTGTTTTAAATTTTATTTATGTGTGTCTCTTTTTTTGGGGTAAATTTTTGTAAATTTTGCATGTTGCTAATGTGTGTGTGTTTTGTTTGCATCAACGGACCTTAAAGAAATTTCATCATGGAAGTTGTGTGTTCTCATCGCCGTTCTAAAAACGAACAATTTTTTGTTTGTGTGTGGGTGTGTAGTTTTTGTTTTAGGTTTTTGGTTTTTAATTGTGCTCTTATAGTCTATCCTCATCCTCTTCTTCGATCTCCTCTTCGCCAAGCTCTTCGTTTTCCTCTTTGTAGCCTGGATGCTCAGATATTGCATAATAGTTACCATTATAAATAACACCTAATTCACGTAACGCTTCACCGCGTATTGTTGCTTTCATAGTCCAATTGTAACAATCGTCTGATTCACTTTCGCGATCTAAGCGCTCAACATCAACAATTTTTGCACTTAAACGCTCTAATATTATACCAATATCCTTAATATTTAAATGACGCTTTTGATCAACCGACAGCTGATCGATCAGCAGTAAAAACTTTTCCGATGTGATTGTTTCGTCTTCCATGACCTGTGAAATTGAAGGTGGATACACGAGAATTATTGCCAAGTATTGCTTGAATTGGATTTGACTTTCAATGTTTGACTTTGAAAATGGTTTTCAATTCCGGGAAATTCAACATTGGCACATTACATAAGAAAAGCCGTCTACGGTTTTTTTTACATGCACGTGTGTGTGTGTCAACTTACGGTGTTTTCTGTCTCGCTTTCGGAACTCTCTCGTTCCTGTTGGATATCCAAAAATCGTACATGTCCTTTTGGATTTGGTGTTCGTCTTTGACTAGGCGAGGTTGATGTCGTTCCGCCACCGGCACTACTACCCGTTGCGACAATTCCATCTTGGATCGGTGATGTAGCCACACTCGCTATTTCACGACCTGAAACAAACACACCAATATTGATCGTTCATGCGTGACTCTTGCTTGGTCCAATAAATCAAAGAATATTTTCCAATGAAAATAAAAATGCTTACCTTCTTCATGCAATGCACAACAATGAAAATCACATTCGGCTGCACTCGGGCTGCCAGCTCGACTTGGCGTATGCACATGGTGTGAGCATTCAGGTGTGTGAATGTGCACCGAATCGAATGAGCCGCCACCTTGTTTGGGTAATCTGTGTGAAGCACGAACCATAAAAAAAAACCAAATCGAAATTTATAGTTGAATGACATGTGACTTGAAGCAAACAAGCAATGAAATGATACGAAGAAGAGAGATAGAGAGAGAGAGAGACAGAAAATGGGAAGAAAAATAAACTTACCGTCGCCCCGAACCGTATGTTGATTGTATATCGTCGTGATTGATTACCGTAATTTGTGGGCTTGGATACCGTTGCTGCATTGTGGATTTTTCGATCGAACTTTGTGCTGAGATGCCGCCACTCTTTTTCGATGGTGAAAATTTATCGAGTAAGGGACCATTACACGTGCTCGACACACCGCTACTGCTATGAATTATTGTACTACCCGTTGCTGAGGAACTACCAGCAATGCCTACGCTATGGCCTTGTCTCTGATCCCAATGCAATACAACGGTCACACGACCTTTATTATCCATAATCTTCCAGGATGGCGTTTCATCGTGCAACTCTAACGCATGAATCGTTTCACACACGATTCGGGGGATCGCTGATATCGCTAAACGGAAATATCGCAAATATATTAATCATTGTGACATATTTCACATAAAGAAGAAGAAGAAGAAAGTACACAGTCATGTTGGCATGTAAATTACGTTCAATTGTCTTACGTACCAGCTTTTATAACATCGACGCCAGTTGGATACCATCGTTCACCTTGCCTGAGCAGTAATAGCACTGTGTTATTTGCCAATGTACGGAAATATTCACCATCCTCAATCTGGGTGCCATCACACTCCAACACAACGCGAACTGGTTCCGAGGCAGAAACACCAAGTTTGTCTTTACCTGGGTGTGTATCAAAATAAACACAACAATAGAATTAGAATACGAATCATGTTATGAGCATAAAGAAAATTCCGCAGACCGACTGCCAAAAAACACATATTAATTTCATTTATTCGAGAATGAAAAAATTTGCCCGAGCTTTGGCGGTCAATGCATTTGCATTTTATGGAAAACGTGTCTTGTTTGATTTCATTTTTTTTTCTCTCGTGAGTTGGTGCAGAGGCGAGACATAGATGTGGGATGCTGAAATCCTTTTCGAAATGCAATTTCAGAAACGCAAAAATGAAAGCAACAACATTCCCATCTAATGTAATAACATTTCAATGTACGGGTGTAATGTATATTGATGCGTGTGTTTTTGCATACATCCCACGTGAATAAACGATCAAAATTGGAATCGTTTCTAAAATGAGACCATTGTTTCAACATGTGGTCATTTTGCATCTTTTTCTTCGTTGTTATGTTCTTGTTGTTGTTGATATATTAGGTTAGACGAAGGAGCAAAAGCGAAAAAGACACGCAGCTTTTTTTGTTGGCATAGAACATTAACAAAAATTTACGTAGGCGAAAGTGCTTTGTTTATATTTGTACAGTTTGCATGGTAACAAAGACGTTTAACCCTCTAATGCATTAATTTTTCCCAGGGCTGGGAGTACTGGTACTTGGTTGATTTTTGGCCATAGATAATTAAAAAAAAAATTCATAATCCTGGATTCCTCATGGTTTAGTCCTACGATTGCTAGTGTCCTGCTAGTGTCAAGTCACATAATACTAAACGCATCCATTCTGAATAGAAAAACAATGAAAAATTAATGGGTGCGTTTAATATTATGCAGCATTTACGTGCATTTACGTTCGACACTAGCAGTCGTTGATTTAGTCAGAAAATGCGATTGACATAAACCAGAGAACAATCAAATCCATTGTTTAAAAGTGTCAAAAATGCGTCTAATTTCGAGTTCGAATAATTTATTTTGTCAAATTTATGTTTTTGCACACATTTTTGTTTATAACTTTACAATCACACTACATAGACAAATATTTCCAAAGACAAAAATAAAGAGAGAACATTGACGCAATGTGATCCGATGTACGGTTTACGTTCTACAGGCGTTCAAATGTTGCCCGTCTAGGGGCGGTTGTATGCATTAGAGGGTTAAGGGTATTGTTCAAGACGTTTAGGTGTATTTATTTGAATGGTTATCAAAAAATGCGGTTTTCATTGAGAAAAAAAAATCATGAAATTACTTACCTCTGACAATTAATTCTTCAAAACTTCCCACAACTAGACCTTTTCGAATATTTCTCCAACTGTCCCAGATTTTTAAGGGTCTCTTGCCACGAGACTCCTGCAAAAATGAAGAAAAAGAGAGATAAACATCATATCGATTAATATTATATTCATTAGAAGCTATGAATGTCATCCGAAAAAAAAAACTTCAATATACAAACGAATAATAAAGCTTATGAAAATTGGGATAATTTAAATTCGAATGGAGTGAATCGATGAAACTGGTTTCAAATGGAATTTTGTCATCGTACCAAAGCTAATCCCTGTTGAAAGTTTGAACATGTGCATCCCCATGCTGGCTTAGTCACGCCTAATGTGCACAACGCAGCTGACCACATACTTTTTCAACAACAACAACAACAAAAACGGGCAGCAGCAACGTGCTCTGTGCTTGCACTAAGCACCTGTTTTCATGCCGCTACACATATAAAATATATTGGCCACAGTGCACAACAATTGTCACACGAAAAAAAAAACAGTCGACCGTGTTCATAGGTCCAGTACAATTGAATGGTAAAATCAAATTATGGGCAAATATATATTGATTCGTCCGATCAAAATACACTAACACACACATACACACACAAACACGCACTCCTCGCAACAGCACGTGTATCGTGTCCAAAATGCCGTTCAATTAAATGGCTATCAGAAAATTATCAAATCACCATCAAATTTGGTTTAATCCATGCACACGCATTCACCTTCTCTTTTTTCTTCTCCTCTTAAAAATGAATATCCTTTTCTCCCTATTCAATTCGTACGTCAAAAAGTATGCTTTCTTTTATTTGTGTATATTATTTGCGTGTTGAAAACAAATGGACCGAAAACAAGTACCTAAAATCGCACTACAAATCGCCTATAAATGTGCGAATAAATCGCCGTTTTTAAGAAAACCGAACTTTGCACCGTTAAAGCTTCTCACCAGTGTTTGTGTGAGAGATTTTCAGTGGAATTAATGCAAATATTTATGATTCGTTATATCAATCACATAAATCAATTGAACAGCATCTTCGATGAAGTATTCCTTATTAAAAATAAAATCAAAAAGTCAAAAATAACGCGTCTCATATCAAGAGATTAAGACGTTAAAAGATGAAACACTTGTGAATTTAACAAGCTCAGCAAAATTTTGTTTTTTTTTTTTTGATTTTATTCGATCGAATCATTCGTGCCACAAATAACATCAATCAAGATCACGAGACCACCACACTTTATACTAAATGTATATGTATGTATTTGTATCAAAAGAGAGAGAAAACAACAACAAACTCTCAAGTGATTGAAATCTCTTAATCCATTTTGTTTGCATAAAATGGTGAATCGAAATTGTAAAACACAACACTTTTTGTCTATAGATGGTTTTTCACATTTAACAATTGTTCTAGAAATGCAACCGTTGGTTTAGAGCATCAAAAATAATTATCATCATGAATATGGATGACTCACAACCCATTGATTGAAAATAAACAACACTAATGCACGTGTTATTTTCGTATTGTGGAAGTCGGAATGATGCATCGATGTACTATAGAATTGGTCTCAGCCATGGTCAAATTAAGAGCGATTACAAATAAAATGCAATTGTAGCATTTCCTGTCCTGTGTCTCATTTAATATCAAAACAATCGCGGAATTTCTTTGCGTACTGTGATTATCTCACAAGGGGCCCAGAAATTTCACTCTCTCTTTCGCTCGTTCGTTTGGTCACTTGTCGTTGAATTTTGTTGAGTGTTTTCTTTTCCTTTGTTGCTGTTATTGTTGTTGTTGTTGTTGTTGTTGTTGCTTTAAGTACAATTAAAATATATAAAACAGCGTCACTGTGGCCGAAATCAGCAATTCACAAACAAACAACAACGACAACCGAGAAAAGCGAAACAAAAAAGAAACCAATTGTTGGCTACATTTCGAAACATTTTTGCTTCGAATGAAACGCGCGCGCGAGAGTGAGTGCGAGAGAGAGAGAGAGCGATAAAACCAACGAACGAACGAACGGAAAAAAATGTTACGGGAACAAAGTGTCCGGATGTAAACACAACGTCATAACTGAACAACACCAAACATATCTATGAGAGTGTGGCTGATGATAGTTGATTGTGAGATGGTATTGCAACTGGGGATCGGTTGTATAGTTGCGCGCCGCATAATTTCGCACCAAATGCAACCAAAGCAAGCAGCCAGCAGCTATCTATGTGTATATATATGCTAAATATACACACGATCGCGACGCGAGAGCTGGAGCCAGTACGAAAGTGAGTGAGTGAGTGAGTGAGTGAGTGAGCGAGCGTGTGTGTGAGTGAGTGAATGAGGGAGAGAGAATGACAACGCGGCAAGAAGAAAATCGGGTTCACCAGTGAAAATGAAAATGAGCGAAAGCGAACACACAACAACTGAAAACTGGATTGGAAACTGTAAAATAGGACAATGGAAATAAACATAATTTCAAACCACAAGAATACTATATTCAGAAGAGGAAAGCCGAATTTGTACATAATACGTTGTACGGCCATGGCTATCGACTCATTTTGGACATATGGCAAGCGAAGTGGACAATTGAATTCACAACGATCGACAAGCAAGTTGGCGCCCTCATTATCATACACAAATTTTACAAGCGCTCCCATCAAATTTCGGCCACACCAAACTGTGTTTTCATTTCCTAAACAACCATGGATGACCGAAGTTTCGTCGAACGGTTGACATGTCATGTATGTGCAAAACTCACGGTGATTAGAAACAATATACAAAAAAAAAATACGGGGTGCGGCAAGAAAATTACGTCAGTTTGCTTTTTGACCGGAATGAAAACAAATCATTGTGTCGATATCTTCCAAAAAGGGCGAAGCAATTTCGATTATTGTCGAAATGTTCTGATCGGCTTTTGAAAATACTATCTTTCAAATGGTTGCTGAGCCAGGGACTCAAAAATGAACCGCAACAACTATTATGACAAACTAAAAGTTGACACTGAGTTTCTGTTACACGCCAAGTCAACAATGCAGTCGTGCGGAATGGGATGCAGAAGAATGAAAAAGTAAACAAAATGATGAAAATAAATAAATATTCGAGAAAACTGGAGAAAACATGGTATTAAATGGCTTTCGATGGAAAATTAACCATTTCGAGGCATTCGAATACGTTTGAAATATTTATGGTCATCTGTCGTTGGGAAAATTTCGTGCTCTCAAACATCAAACTGGGCGAAAAGCTCAAGAAGCGTGCCAAAATATATCAACACATCTTTCGTACACACGAACGCCATGCACTTTGCTCTAAATTGTGCACGGAGAAAATCGGAGCGTATGCAGAAGCATGAGCATCGAGAAGCGAGAAGAGTAGAAAAAAAATTAATAGAGAGAAAAAGGATACGAGTGAAATGTATGTCAGAGGAGAGGAGAAGTGGGCACAGCAAAAAAACACCAAAGAACGGTCAGAGAGAAAGCGAGCGAGCGAGAGAGAGAGAGATGGAGCAAGAGAGCGAATCAAGACACAATGAGCAATCATAGGAGGAAGGAAAAAATAGGGCAAATGCACAACAGTACCACAGCACCGTTACTATTTCGATAGCACATACACATACACACATTCCGAAGAGCGACAGCAGCAGAGCAGCATCATCGTAAAAACAGCGAACAACGGCCATATTTTCCATGTGAATCTCTACAATCGCATGCATTGCGCGCACGTACACACATGTCATTTAGTGTATTGAGGCCATGCTGTTAATATTTATAATATATGTATATAGAGAAGCGAGTAGAAATCGTAGTAAAAATTTTGCGTAGAAAAACGGTGTTGCTTTAGACAGAAGAAGGGGCAGAGTCACATATTTTTTTGTTTCAGTCCCAGTTTGATTGAAATGCATTTCAAAAGCATTTTTTGTCATTTTGAGCTTTGTTTGTGCTGGAAAAAATGACAAGGCACCAGATTGCTGCTGCTGCTGCTGGCTGCTTTTCTGTTAAACACAAAGTAGGTGCCAAACCAAACTTTTCGTCGAAATCCAGCACAAACATACCGAAATGGAAAAAAAATGGGAGAAACAAAATGAGCATAGCATAATCGGTGAAATGCACACGACAAAACTTGCATGGCACAAGAACAAAGCGTACATAAAATGGAATGGCCATGCAGAAATATTGTTGTAAACATCATGTTTATTCTGTATTTGTACAATGTGGAGAAAAAGAAAGTATATTTATATCTTGATGGCTTCTGCCAATACTATAAACTAAAAAGAAATGGAACCCATCTCGTAGAGAGATGATGCGGGACACGAGAAATCGCAACTCGTTCGATTGATTCCGTGTGGCGCATTTCTCACACATCGACGGTCATGCCGACAAACAAATGATGTGACGAAAGTTTGGTGGAAAATTCGTATGACATGAGAAAAGTTTTTGGCCTTCTATTTTGTGTTGCAACTGCAATTCTGATAAACCCATTTTCCCTCCTCCCCTCTCTCTCTCTCTCTCTCTCTCTCTCTCTCTATCTTTCTAAAAAAACTCATAACCATAACTCATAGGTAGTATATACCTCGTTCTCATTTCATTTCGTTTGACCTCATTTTTCGTTTCACTCTTTCCCATAACGCAGGGAGCGGGCGGTTGAACGATTTCCATCCATTTGATCCGTTTTCCATCTAAAACAAAATGCTGTTTTTTTTTGTCGGTCGTTCGAAATCACGGCTAATGAAATATTTTGATTGGAATTGATCAGTCGCATGTATAATTATATAATAGCGGTCCTATTTAATCACGCCCCATTTTTCGTGATTACCGACGAGAACGCGATGCTTATTACGATATTTGCACAAAAGCCCGATTTTCCCATCAATGCAATCAACGAACGGCTTAATTTTTTTCTCGCTGTTGTATGTGTTGTTGCTGTTGTCTGCCAGTTGCGTCGGAACTTCAACTGTATTGTGGCATAAATTCGACGTTGTTGTCATTTTAATCGCGTTGCATTGCGAGACGGACAAATGGACGAGCTGCATGCGTACAATTGTATGTGGTTTGATTGCAAATCAAATTTGGTCTAAACAGGAAGTCGGAATAATTAG